AAGAGGCTGGGCACAGTGGTTCATGCCTGTAATCTCAGCACTTTGGGAGGCTGAGGCAGGCGGATCACCTGAGGTCAGGAGTTTGAGACTGGCCTGAACAACGTGGTGAAACCCCCATCTCTACTAAAAATGCAAAAACTAGTCAGGCGTGGTGGCGCATGCCTGTAGTCCCAGCTACTCAGGGTGGTTGAGGCAGGAGAATTGCTTGAACCCTGGAGACAGAGGTTGCAGTGAGCCAAGATTGCACCATTGTACTTCAGCCTGGGCGACAAGAGCGAAACTCCATCTGAAACAATAAAAAATTTAAAAATAAAAATAAAATAAAAAGAGACAAGGCCTCACTATGCTGCCCAGTCTGGTCTCAAAGTCCTGAGCTTGAGTGATCCACCCATCTCAGCCTTCCAAAGTGCTAGTATTACAAGCATGAGCCACCACACCCAGCCCTGTTTGATTTCTGTGAAACTGCTTTCCATGCTGGCTGCACCACTTTACACTCTTACCAACAGTGCACAAGGGTTCCAATTTCTCCACAACCTCATCAACACCTGTTCTGTTGTTTTGATAGTAGCCATCCTAATGGGTGTGACTTATATCTCCCCACAGTTTGGATTTGCCTTTAAGTTAAGATTAGTGATGCTGGGCATCTTTTCCTGTGCTTATCAGTTAGCCATTTGTATATCAAAGTACTTCAACTCAAGTACTTTGCCCATTTTTTAACTGGTTCTTTTTTCTTGTTGTTGTTGCTGAGTTGCAGCAAAGTGCTTTACATGCATTTACTTCTTTCTTCCCACATGTCACTCCCTAGAAGGAGTGACATCCTCCGGGGCACCTCAGGCACCCTCAGATGATAAATGAAGTCTGCAATGGTAGCTAGAGACAAGAAGTACACAAACAGGAAGGAGGGAGGGGAAGGCCAGCCAAGGAGATAAAACAAACAGGCTCCAGTTCTCTCAGTCTGGTTCATGTTAAATTAGCTACAAATTATCAGTGCCTCAAATCCAAAGACAAACTGATTTCATATAAATTTCATCCTTGAGCTTCACAAGGGGAATGGGTCTTTTGCACACTCTAGAGGCACCCTTCCAACCCCCCCAACAATGGAACAGTAGCAACAAAGACCAGAAGAAATAAGAAAAGGTCTGAGAGGCTTGGGAAGATGTTAGATCCTGTGCAAACAGCCTTTTGGAAGGAGAAACAGAGACAGTGCTTGCTCTCCCACCACATTCTTCAGAGGTGGAGTCTTAGAACCACAGTGTAATAAGGAAGTTGATGGCAACAAAACAACTGAGGCCATGATAAAAAGTTGTGCAGAAGTGCTCGCTTTGGCAGCACATATACTAAAATTGCAACGATACAGAGAAGATTAGCATGTCCCCTGCGCAAGGATGACATGCAAATTCGTGAAGAGTCCCATATTTTTAAACAAACAAGTTAAGGGCAAGATTCTTGCCAAGAGAATTAATGCGCATATTGAGCACATCAAGCACTCTAAGAGCCGAGATAGCTTCCTGAAACATGTGAAGGAAAATGATCAGTAAAAGAAAGAAGCCAAAGAGAAAGGTACCTGGGCTCAACTGAAGCGCCAGCCTGCTCCATCCAGAGAAGCACACTTCGTGAGAACCAATGGGAAGGAGCCTGAGCTGCTGGAACCTATTCCCTATGAATTCATTCAAAAATAATAATAGT